CAGGTGTTTTCCTCAGTCCTTGGTTAGAATGCACATTTCCAAAGTGTTAGAATAAGAAGTATGAATCTTTACTTTCCCTACCAATGCCAAGCCTGCTTCTCTTTCAATGTTCTTTACTCATCCACCCTAGACAGGGTAACCTATGAGTTACCCTGGATGACTTTGCCATTATCCACTCAGCAAACAACCAAATAATGAGCTCTTTTAACTCCTAAATATTTTCAAATACACTCACCCTCCATTCCAAGTACCATCAACTTGGGCAAAGTGACTGACTATCTTCTCTGATTTGAACTCTGTTACTGAAAATAGGTACCTAACTAGTAACTATATTTCCATTCTTGTCCTTTACCAATCTATAGTTAAATTTCAATTAAATCATATTGTGAAAGCTGTTATGATAACATCCCCTCACTTTAAAAACCATGCAATTTTTTTCTTATTGTTATGTGGGTAAGATAGAACTTCTTTAATGACTTATAAACCTACCTTTCCAGCCTTATCTCTCATTCCTCTTCTCCTTGAGCCATCCTGAACTTTCCTTTGTTCTAAAATATCTTGGCTGTCTGATCACCACTCCAGCCCTTGGACAGCGTTGATTCCTCTATGTAAAAAATATTCTATATATTCATTTATTTTTATTTATTCAAGAACTATTATGGAGTAAAGACTTGTTATTTGAATCTAATGTTATAATAGAGAAGCTACTCCATTCTAGGCACTATTAAATAAATCATTGATGGAACAAGGTATGATTTCTGTTACAACAGAACTCAAGGTCTAGCTTGGGAAGCATGAGATGAGAGCTATGGCATGGAAAGTATAAGTGATATGGAATTAAATGTCAGGATACCATATCTAACATAGGAAGGAGTCAGTGCAGTTCCCTGAGGAAGTACACTTGAAGCTCAATTCTGAAGAATGCATAGGTGCTTGTGTGGTAACAGAAGAGTGGGGAAGGAGGAGGCAGTAAAGGGAATGATGGAAGGAATAGTCCAGTGACACAGTTAAATGGAAAATATATGAATACTTAGAAAAGAAATCATCTTTCCCTGTTATAAGCATAAGCTATTGGGAACAGATATCTTTCTTCAACAAACTTTCTTGGTGGCCTAAGTTGCCAAGAAAAAAAAAGTCAGAAATTTCTCATTACCGCTTGCTGATAATTAAGTTCTGATGGCTCCTCCTTTTACAAGTGCCATTGCAACTGAAGGAATTAGGAGGCATTTTGGATGAGTGAGAGAATCTATCAGGAAGCTGATTCTATCCTAACCAAATGACTTACATCTGGACTTCTGCTTTGTCATCTGTAAAAAGATAACATTCTCCAGGTAACTTTGCCAGGTAGGATCAAATGAGATAGTGATGCAAAAATATAATGTACCACCTTGAGCTTAATGACCCTTTCAAGAGGAATTTCAAGGGCATTAAACAATTTGCCATTTTCTGACAGTTCCCTGTCATTTTTCTTACAATTTCTACTTGTAGCATCTACAACAAATAGAGAGTCAATTTCATTATCTTTTAAGAGGAACAAAAGTGGATGGTATCTCTTTTCAAAAGGCCCAATGTTTCAAAGCAAAAATATCTTGAAGTGGAAAAATCTAGAGAATCCAGTTATTTTGCAATAATAAAAAAACATGCAAGAAAATAAGTAAAAAAATTAAATAACATGACTTCTGCTATAATCAAGGCCCCAAATTTCTTTATTTTTTATGGCAAAACTAATCTGATCACTTCTTTCTTATTTTCTGTTTAAACTTGCTATCTTATTTCCCCTGTAGTGGATTTATTGACAAATAGATAAATATAAATTCAAAAAAATTATTCTGAAATTTGTGGTAGATGTGTTAGATATCATTCCTATTTATGTCTATAAGAAACATCAAGAAAAATTATAAAAAAATTTACATTCCTATTTTTTCTTGATGTTTCTTATAGACATTAATAGGAATGATATCAACTCACCTTTAAATTAAAGGGAAAAATCATTCTAATTTTATAAATATTGAGGACTGTACAAGTGCTATTTACAGAGATGGAGAGGGATTTTAATGCTGAATATTTTTTTGTTTACAGTCCTCTTTCTTTGATAAGCAATTGGATTTCAAAATACATAAGGTCTATTAAAGATATCTAACTTTAAAGTCCTGCTTGAGTCTTCTAACACATCTTCTACCACAAATTTCAGGTACCTTTTTAAAAGTTTATAATTTTATAACATTAATTATTTCTGTATTATGGGAGCGACTTTTTTAAAAAGGCATTTAAAAGGAGAAAATAGTACATGGATCACCGGTTTCTATAAAGAGAGGGAAGAGCTCTTAAGGAAATGTATATTTAGGAAATTCATTTAGTTGATGGCCAATTTAATTCTAATCTCTGTTAATATATGTTGGAAGGAAACAAAGTTCATGAAATTATTCAGTCAGAGGGCTAGCGAAAGTTTCTTCCTGCCTTTGATAAAGTGCAAAGGAGACTTTGTAAGAACAATCTGGTATATGGTGTTTAAGCCTCAAATCTTCCACCCACTTTCCAAGTCATATAAGACATTTTAAGTCACTTAGTCTCTAAACATTTTTTCTCATTTGTAAGAGGGAGAGTAAGAGACACAGCCTGTATGAAAAAGTTTTGTAAACCAGAAACTGCCCCACAAAAGAAAATTGCATGAGCAATAAACTCAAAGATTTCCAAAAGCTATTCTACCAAAAAAAAAAAAGTTTAATGTGTATTTTGTGTTCTTGTTCATTTTCCTTTTCACATTTCCTTCATTAGTTATAAGTTCCTTAAAGTTAAACTGAGCAGATCCTATCCTCTTTTCCATGTTGCTTTCTGGTTTACACTTAACTAATGAACACTCAGAATGCCTTATTGATAGATATTCTCCTTCCTTTCTGAGTTCCAATATCAAACAAAATAGTCATGAGTTTCAAACAATGCCCTTTTACCTATTCTATGTATAAACCTTCCTATGTCAACCATGCCTACTTCCACATTTTCTGTCTTCTAAGCTGGAGAATTGGCAAGTCAGCATTGATGTAACAAAAGTTTTTTTTTTATCAATATTAGCAAATTTGTTTAAGCTGAAATCAGAAATCCTTGTTTCTCAATCTAAACCTGTACCTCTTGCAAAACAAAACAAGCAGAATTAACTGCATTGTTAACCCCAGGAAGAAAAGAGGAGAGCTTGTGAGTCCTTGATTCCTAAAGTCAAGAAGTTCCCAAGAAAAGCCCATCCTTACTAGGGCAACTGAGAGGAATAAAGTACATGAACATAAAATGGCAAGACGAAATATGTACATAGAGGGAAAGAAGACCATGGGAGAAGACACAACAATCAAAAAAGTGAAAGTAAATATTCCTTTAGATAATTGATGCTATGCCCTACCCTGATGCTTGAAAAACTCTTTATTAATGGGTAAATTGGCATTAGCATGTAATAAAACACTCTGAAAGGCTGAAAGGCTGATGAGGATGGAATGGCTACCTCTCAGGCTCCTCCTTGGATCGTATAAATATGCCAACCTGACCTGCCCTCTTCCCAAAACAGTTCTGTATTCCTTTCATAAGATTTTAAACAAGCGGGCCCTGTTCAACGCACCTTTTTAAGAAAAGAATATTTTTAGTCTAAGTAATTTTGCCCAGTCTTTACCGGTATGATGTGGCTGTCCTTAAACAGCCCTAGGAGGGCTCACACAACCCTCTGGCTCCGGGTCAACACGTGTGTCCACAGCCAGTTCCCGTGCGCTCCGCGTTTCAGCACTGCCGCCTCTGGATAGCGCCTTGCTAGCTGCCGGGGTCGGGGCCTCGCATCCGGTCTCCCGAGCATCCCCAGCACATCGCCCTCTCCGTCTCGTTCCGAATGCCAGAAAAAGCAGCCCCAAATTCTCATCTTTCCTTAATGCAAGTATCTAAAGGGACCTCCATGTCCCTCCTTCAGGGTGTAAGCGAGCACACCTCCGTGCCTTTGGGTCCTACAGGAGTAGGCGTGAAGCCGCGTCGTTTACCCACCCGTGGCCAGAGATCTCTGACAGGCATCCGTCACCCTTCCCCTGTCCCTCCTGAATCCCAAACCAAAAGCCAGGAGCGCCAGCTCACTCCCTCTCTATCCACGCCCCAAAGCAAGAAACAAACGCTATGCTGCGCCCTCCCTCCCCCTCAACTCTCTCTCTCTCTCTCTCTCTCTCACACACACACACACACACACACACACACACACACACACACACACTCGCACGTCGCAAGCCTTCCGGGTGCCACCGTTCCCCAAGCAGAGCACCAGCCAACTTGGGCCCCATCCATCAATACCGGCTCGCCAAGGGCCGCCCGCAGCGGCCGCCCCGCCTCCTCCCCATCCTAGGCAGCTGGTCCCAGCAGGGCAGCTCGCGCTGACCAGGGACCCCTCCCCTTGCACTCAGTCGTCTACCTCGCGGGGAGGGGGTGTTCCACAACCCCCAAACACTTGTCCCCGGGCCACCCGAACCCTCAGCCGAGCCATAAATCAATGCTCTTGAAGCTCCAGCCATGTTACCGATGTGTTGTTGGCAAGTGTGTGTTTGTGTATCCGAGGCACATACACTATTTAACTCCTTTGAGCTTTCCGCCCATCCTAAACAAGCAGCACGTTATTTCTGCTCCCCTCCTCCGTTCTCCGCGCCAGAACCTCTGCACCCATCCGGAGCCAAGTAGCCAAAGCACCGCACCTGTGCGAGAAGCTCGACCCCCCGCCTCGCCCAGACGCTCCCCTCCGGCCCCTCCCCTCCCCCCCGCCCGTGGTTCTCGGAGAGCCGGGTCTGGACCGAAGGAGCGACGCCTCGGGAGCGCAGCCCGCGTCCCCTCCCCGGAGCCGGGAATAGAGGGGCAGCCCCCCCTTGGGCCGGATCCGCCGACTCACCCCTTCGGAGCAGCACACGCCTTCCAGCTCAGGCGCCGGGAAAACACAGGTGCCGGGAAAAGGAGAGCGGCGGAAGCAGCCTCGGAGGGTGGGCGGGAGGACTCACCGAACATCTGAATGTGCCCTTTGGTGATGGGGTTGAAGCTGCCGCAAGCAAGCAGGATAACGTGTGTCTTGGTGGTCTCGGTCATGGTGCGGCTCGGTCCCTCGCACTGGCCCAGGAGTCGCTTCTTTTTGTGTGTCTCGATATGTCTGCAGAGGGAGAAAGGAAGGCGAGGCTCTGGCGGTGGATGCCGTGGACTCCAAGGAGCCGCTCCAGACGCAAACCGCGTCACTCGCCGCCTCCCCTTAACGCTTGCAGCTCCGGCTAGATCCCAGACTGCTTTTGTGCTGCTCTCCGCCGGGCCTTCTCTGTTCCCTGTAGCTTCTTGCTCAGCTCTCGTCTTGGTCCCCACCCCTCCCTTTCCCTCGCTCCCTTTCTGCTTCATTCCATCACGCTGCCATCCTCAGTGTTTATCTACAAGGCAAGACGTGCAGCCCAAGCCCGGAGCGTGAACACATCGCTCATAGCTAGGCGTGAGCTCTTTCTATCTCTCGCCTCCTTCTGATTTAGTTCTCATTTCATTTCATTTCATTTAGTTTTCATGCTTCGGTCCACATGTACTTTCTCTAACATTTTCTCCTCCAAAAGTGTTTGTTATTTAAGAATTGCTTTTCTTTCTCACTCAAAATACAAACGTGAAATTGCAATTGTTCATTTCAAGAGTATTCATCTTTGCCTTTCATTTCCCCCCTTATCTTTTGTTTTAAGATTTATTTATTTATGCATACAAGAGCTGGGGTACAGGCCAGAGGTGTGGTGGTGAGAGGATTCACCAGAGACAGAGTGGGGAACAACAGGCAGACTGACTGAAATACACTGCTGAGGGGAGCAGTGGGTGAGTCAGGAGAGGTCTGCTGCACCATGTGGGTATCTCCCCTGCCTGGGGCTCGAACTTGTGCTGCAGAGGCTGTGGACAGCTACCTAGGTTTGAGTTAATGAACTGAGTTAATGAGTTTGAGTTAATGAGTTTGAGTTAATGAACTGAATCCAGATCTTGGTTGCCAAGAAATCGGGGTAATCCTTTTCCCAGCATATTGGTCCTCTTTGTGGGCTGCAGCAATACTATCAGTTTAGGAGAACATGGATGGGGCATAGTCACTAAAGGCATATTTGAAAACTATTATAATCTTACATAAGCTAGCAAAGTTGAAACAAAGATTTAGCTGTTTACCGACAAGTGCCTCTGAGTGCTCACTATGTGTTTGGCTCTGATATAAACCTTGCTGATAAAACAGTCTTTGTCTTCATTGAGTTTACATTCTACAGAGGGAAATAAACAATAAATGGAGAATATCAAATGGCAATTGTGCAGTACACAGTAAGTGAATACAATTCACTCTCTGACAGAATAGAGAGTGGGTGGAGGAGAGAGGACCACTTTATTTTTCCCATTTTGATTGAAATAATAGTGATTTATATTATTATCTAAGTTTCAGGGAGAGGGGACTAGTTTAAATCAAGTAGTCAAGGAAGGCCTCTCCAGAGAGGGGAAATTTAAACTGAGACTTAAAAACAACATGAAGGAATTGCTAGTACAAATATTTCTGGACAGGGAAGGGCTCATTGAAATGACTGCCATGCATGGGAAGGGAGCAATGCCGCATTACCCTGGTGATCAGACAATTAAGAAGTGCTTATAAGCCAGGGTAATGAGCTTGGATTTTTTTTTAAGTGTCATAACTTAGAAAATAATTACAAAAATGAAACTTTTAAGCAGGAAATTGATAATTTACATTTTTATAAAATCACTCTGGCTGCTAGGTGGAAAGGGTGTGCAAATGAGAAAGCAAGGAAAACCTTTTGGCATTTCTGTTGGTAGCCCAGGCAAATGTCATTGTACTTAGACTGGGATGTAGAGGGGTGAAGCTGATGAGAAGCAAATGGTCTCAGGCTAAGTTTTGTCAATAGAGTTTGAGGTTTTGCAGATGAATGTAGAGACTGAGGGAAAGAAAATCTAGGGAAATGTCTAGAAACTTGCCATAAACCATCAAATGAGTGGATTGAGATTTAAAAAGATGGCACACACACACAAAAAAAAATAAAAAGATGGCACAAATAAAGTTTGTGGGAAGACTAAGTATTCTACTTGCATACAATGATTGACTTAATAATTCTTTTTCTTAATTTTTAATGCCTTCTTTATATTGAGATACAATTGACTTTTAACACTTTATTCGTTTTAAGTGTATGTAATAATTCTGTATTCAGAAATCCACAAGTACCAATATTTATCCTTTTTGGGCTTTAAAATTCTTGGATAAATTGCTACCCCATCATACTGGTTGATTTGTATTCAAAAGCCTGTAGAGATGTGCAGTAAACATTTGTTATATTATGCTGATAGAAAATCAGTCTTAATGTGCAGAAAATTTCTAGCTTAAATATAAAAGTCCTAAGAATCCATGTGCAATTATAATGAGATTTGCATCTGTCTTGATGTGGAATGTGGAAAGTCAGGTATAGAGGAAGTCAGGGTGAAGAGAAGCTGATTTGCATATGAAACTGGACAGCTAATAATTGGGCAATTATCATAGCTATAGTTAAGCAATAAATATTTATTGAGGGTCTACCATGTGCCAGGCACTTGATTTAGGGTTTGTGAAAAAAACAAAGTCCCTGCTGTCATATAGCTTATATTCCAGGGAGGAAAGCAGTCCATAATCAAATGAATAGACATAAAGACAATAGGTACCATAATGAAAAATAAATGAGGCTAAGAAGAAAGGATAAGGAAATGGAACTCCTCCTTTATTTAAGGAGGTCAGGAAAGACTTCTGATAAGGTGGTATTTGAACAGGGGCCTGAATGAAGTAGATGAATATTTCCTTTAAATATGTACCCCAGACCTCCCCGGTGGCGCCGCAGGTTGAGGGCAGCGTTGTGAGGCTCTCCGCAACTTTTGCAGCATGGGTTTGATTCCCGGCCAGCCAAAGAGATTCCCACATGGCATGGTAGACCTCTCCTGTCGTGCCCGCTGCTCCCCTCAGCAGTGTATTTCAGTCATCTACCTGTTCTGCTCCCCACTCTGTCTCTGGTGAATCTTCTCACCCTCCTGCACCTCTGGTTGTACCCCAGCTCTTCTATAAAAATAAACAAATTTTTAAAAAAAGAAGTTCCTGAGTCTTAAAAAAAATGCACCCCTATGTTTATCAGAGCACTATTTATAATAGGTAAGACTTGGTATCAACCCAAATGCCCAAAAATAGAAGACTGGATCAAGAAAATGTGGTATATATACATAATGAAATACTATTCAGCAATCAAAAAAGATAAACTAATACCATTCATAGCAACATGGATGGAACTTGAAGGAATTATGCTCAGTGAAATAAGTCAAAAGGAAAAAGAAAAAATACCGGATGGTTTCACTTACAGGAGGAATATAGGAGATCAAGGGGGAAAATGACAATAACAACAAAACAAAATAAAACAAAAATAAACAGGTAATTACAAATCAGAGACATTCTATAGGAGAGCAAAAAGGTAAGGGATCAAAACAAGGGCAAGAAGAGGACAAGGGGGCCTCCCTAGTGGTGCAGTGGTTGAGCGCTGGGTTGCGAAGCTGCCCACAGCCTCTGCAGCGCCAGTTCGATCCCGGCTGCTCCCCGGCCACCGGAGGAGGGTCCCACATGGCGCGCAGACCTCTCCTGCCGCCCACTGCTCCCCTCAGCAGTGTACTTCGGTCCTTCTGCCTGCTCTGCTCCCCGCTCTGGCTCTGGTGAATTCTCTCACCCTCCCACGCTTCTGACTGTACCCAGTGCTTGTATAAATTAAAATAAATAAATAAAGCACAAATGTTTAAAAAAAAACAAACAAAAAAAAAAAAAGAAGAGGACAAGGGACTATGGTGATGGTACATGGATGAATTGGTGGTGGAAATTATATGGGGACTACACCTAGGAAAAGAAAGCAAACATTGTAAGAATGATAAATAAATAAATCAATATCTGGGGGAGAACATACCTGGCAGTCTCCCTCTGAGTGCACCGAGGAGACCAGGCAGCCTGTCTCCAGGCGCCAGGCCTGGGGCTGGGTACTTGGCTTCTCGCCTGCTGCATCTGCCAGAGACTTTGGCCTTCCCACTGCCTCCTGCAGGGGACACATGGAGGGGCCATGTTGGAGCTAAGATGGCACTTACCGTGGGGGTGTGGAAGGACAAGATCCTGCCTCCTTCAGTCATGGAGCTCATGTCTTCAGTAATAGTTTAAATTCTATAGATTAAGTTAACTAATTGGTTGGGATTCTAATTGTTCCTTGTAATTTTCTTCATGCAGGCCTCTAATTGTGCATCCCCAAAGAGAGCTTTCTAGTAATTGGAATTTGCAAGCATGAAGAACATGTCCTGGCCTCTGCCCCTTACTACATGTGTGACTTTATTTTTAAAGATTTATTTTTATTTATTTATGCATACAAGTACTGGGGTGTGACTTTGAACTAGTCATTTATAGCTAAGACTTTATTTTGTCACCTGGACGTAGCCACCTCTAGTTAGTTAAGATAGCTAGCTAGCTAGCTGGCTAGATAGACACATATATTTTGCAAAATATAAACACAAAATACATAGACACAAAAAATATTTCATAACTCTATAGTATTCTGTGAAATTGCACAGAGCCTAGCAGATAATATACACCCAAAAAACATTGGCTCTGTTATCTATGAAATGGGCATACTATTGTTTTTACCCACTATTTAAAAGCAGATATCCCTATGAAACTCTATCAGCCAAAATGTCATAAAGCAAAGATCAATTACCATTAATTTATGTAGAAAAATTTGTCAAGCATTCCTAGATTCAAAAAATAACTTACCAAATCACACCAAATAATACATAAAACCTAAAAGGACAGTACATGTAGTAAAATCAGGAATGATATGATAAATACAGACTGTATAAAGTAGAAATAATGTGTGTACAGCGTAGTCCCACTTACCAGAAATAGGAATACAGGTGCACACTGGCACACTGAGAGGTGATTTGTCAGGCTGAGTTTTCAGAGGTTGAGGTAGTGGGAGGGGACAGGCATAGGAGAGAGAGGAAGTGGGTCATCCGTTAACATCTTGTCATCATCTGACTCCATCAGGGAAGTCAGGTCAGTGGCAGCTACAGCTTCTGTCTGCCTGCCTCTTTGTCCAAGGTCAAGGTTTGCTGTCTGCTGTGATTGATGTGGCTGATGTGGAAAACTTAAATTAGGACAGTATGCTGGACAACCTAGCCTCTTATATTTTTCAATCTTATAATTTTTTGAAGGCATCCAAGACTTCTTGCAAACCTACCCTAAATCTATGTGCCCTTCCAAAATTAAACCATGGATTTTTTTAAAAAGATTTATTTATGTATGAATACAAGAACTGGGGTACAGGTCAGAGGTGTGGGAGGGGGGTGAGAGGATTCGCCACAAACAGAGTGGGGAATAGAACAGACAGATCTACTGAAATGCACTGCTGAGGGGAGCAGCAGGAGAGGTCTGCTGCACCATGTGGGTAGCTCCCAGGCCAGGGATCGAATTTGTGCTACAGTGGCTGCGGATAGCTTCAAAGGTTGTTTCTTAATCACTTGCACCACCAGAGAAGCCCTAAACTTGAATCTTTCTGTAATCATTGCAGCTCTGCCGACTCATAGTAAAAATCTCACACAAATGCTTCACTTTTGGTTCTGGGTGATTTCCCTTTCCAGTCTTTTGCTGTTGTGTTTGGTTTTGATTCCTATCCTTCCCTCTTGCAATTCCATCAACTCTTCATTGTCAGTTCTTGGGCATGGGATGCCAAAATCTCTCTAATGCTACCTTCATCCTCTTCCACTTGATGCTGAGCTACTGAGGGTAGTTCCTGGGGGGTTTGGTGAGCCAATGTCCTGCTCCAAATGCTGCTGCTTCTGGAATACTGCTGCAAACAAAAGCTGAGATTTTTGCTCACTTTTTGTCTTTTGTCATAAAAGCAAAAATCCTGTTTCAAAATCTTTCAGTTAGTAAAAACAAGTGCTAGTAGAGGTCTTTGTAAAAGTGGAGTGGTATAATGCACATTTTTAAAAATTGGGGATACCAACACTTGCCCTGTGTACTTTAAAGAGTTGCCATATGGATCAAATAACATTATATGAGAGTAAGAGACTATTTTTTAAAGCTTTAAAGTTTCAAACTCAACATATAAAACTGTTACATAAAAAACATCTATTGTTTTTAAGTGTTGTTTATATTGATGACTTTGTCAAGGATGTTTCTGGAAGTTCTAATCTTAAAGGATAATGGCTTTGAGAATGTGCCAGTGGAGAACATATCAACCAATAAAAATGAATAACCAGAAACATACCAACAATGAATTTATTTTGGGTGAGATTCTAAGGCTGGTTCATAATATAAAGAAATAGGAATCTCAACTCTTGCATAACACATGTACCTTAATATATATAGTTATCTATTCTTGGGGGCTCTTATTTTAGCTTAGGTAATATAATTTGGTCCAATATTTCAAATTTCCAACAGCAAGATAATTCTTTTAGGCTGGAAAGGAACCAAAATCATTCTCCTACAGCCTAAACCTTGCAAATTGTGCCAGCTGGTTCAGTTTCCTAGTGGCTCAAGGCACAGAGACCAACCCAGAACATTTTGTGCTTGTAAATACCTGTTCTAATGGGCAGGCTTAAGTGTCTATTGGCTCTGATTTGAAATATACATATGTAAAGGCTGTTGAAGTGGGTGTGTATGCTCTCTCTACCTAGTCCAGATAAAACATATGTTTGCATCATCAGAAATCAGTAAATTCATTCCATGTTTATGAAGCTGGCTCCAAAGAAATATTAGGTATCATCCTTTATAGGAAGAATAGGCATAGACCTAGAAATAGTGCCCTTATTTCTGAGATCCTAGTAAAAACATTATTCTGAGAAAACTATGATGTTGGGATTCTCTACAGTTCCCTACGTTTGTATAGTTCTCTTTCCTTTGCTTTCTCCATTTTTCTTCAAGATAAACATCAAGGATATAGCTGAAATGAATGGCATTACTCTCCCCCTCCTCCCCACAAGCAAATACTTTTTAAATTCATGAGGTGAAAAAATGCCCCTGGATCAGTATCCTCCAACTCTAAATCTCCCAAATCTCACCCAGATTTATAATGTCCCTAACTATTCAAGTCATATTTCTACAAATGAAAGAAATTCCAAGATATTAAACTTTGGTTATCAGTGATAAACATAGAAAAACCACCATTTGGAAATGTGCACAGGTCTTTATAACCATAGGCATTGCATACCAATAAAATTAACAATTGCTTCTGTTAATTACATGTTTGTTGATTTATTCATCATGGCTTCTTTCAGATATTGGGGGCATAGACAAATCACTACTGCCGTCATGAGAATAATGATCTACGTATCAAAAGTTTTCCAAAAACAGAAATAGGAGATCAAAAAATCAGTTCTGGGTGCCTCTCTGGTGGCACAAGGAGTTAAGACGCAGCACTGTGAGGCTATCCACAGCCAGTGCAGCACGAGTTTGATCCCCGGCCAGGGAGCTACCCACATGGCACAGCAGACCTCTCCTGTCCAAACTGCTGCTCCCCTCAGCATTGTATTTCAATGCATCTGCCCATTCTGCTCCCGAATCTGTTTCTGGTGAATCCTCAGCCACTGTGTCTCTGGCCTGCAACCCAGTGGTTATATGCATAAATAAATAAATCTTTTTTAAAAATCAGTTCTAGCGGACTTAGAAAGAACTGTAATTAAGAAGTACAATTATTCCCTGAAATGACATTTGAGAGTATCTTGCCTCTCTCCTTTAAGTCACCCTAATGGAAAATATGTTGGCTCCAGCGAATGTTATTTTTTTATTTATTTAATTTTTTTTATAGAGGCATGTTTTATTTATTTATTTATTTGTTTGTTTGTTTTGTTTATACATGCGCTGGGTACAGTCAGAAGCACGGGAGGGTGAGAGAATTCACCAGAGCCAGAGCGGGGAGCAGAACAGGCAGAAGGACCGAAGTACACTGCTGAGGGGAGCAGCGGGCGGCAGGAGAGGTCTGCGCGCCATGTGGGACCCTCCTCCAGTGGCTGGGGAGCAGCCGGGGATCGAACCGGGGTCGCAGAGGCTGCGGGCAGCTTCGCAACCCAGCGCTCAACCGCTGCGCCACCGGGGAGGCCCTCCAGCGAATGTTAAATAAAAGGAAGTGTTAAATAAAAATAGAAAATATTTTTTCCCATTAGGTCAATACTTCACAACATAGTTAAATCAGATCTAACCTAGAATTTCAATCCCATGACTGCCCAAACTTATGAAAAGTAGGAAATAACAGGGGGACAGCTGAGCTACTCTCAAAGTTGCCAGGAATAACTACGGTAATTTCAGAGGAAATGGAGACATAACCAGAGTTGTGGTGGCTCCAGGTTGGTAGCTGTACATATGAAGATTGTATAAATTCGCCTGCATGACCACATTTCAGATATCCATTACCAAAGCCCTATTCAAAATAGCTAAAGCCAAAGAGAAGATATTGATCTCTGTGACTGGGAAGTAATTTTGCATTCTTTCATGATTTGGTCCACCAGGTAGAGTGACACAAAGAGAACAAAGAGAGATTTAAGAAAACAAGTTTATTATCCTTCCTGGTCCTAGAGACAGGAGGTCCCTGCCACATCTAGCTTGTAGAAATACAACAGGAGGCAGAAGACAAGAAAGGATGGAGCTTAGGTCTTGGCTTTTATTGGTATTTCTACAAGAAAAGCAAGATGGGGCTGAGTGAACAGTTTAGAATAGTTTAGGTAATTGGGGAGGGCTTTGGACTATGGAGATGGCCTAATTGTCTGGTACTGACACAGGGCAGCAAGGGACACTAAACCTGGCCAGGGACACCCAAATAGCTTCTAGTCATCGTCTGAGTTCTTTTTTTTTTTTTTTTTTAAAGAGTAGGTTTGACTTTTTTTTTTTTTTAAAGATTTATTTATTTATTTATACAAGCACTGGGTACAGTCAGAAGCACGG